GAGCCTGCGGGCATCACGGCGGCAGGGACAGCTTGGGGTCCCCGGGGAAGGGCAGGGCGGGGGCCTGGTTGAAGTGAGCCATAAGGAAGATGCCAATGGTGCCGCACACGAAAAGGGAGGCCATGATCAAGAAGCAGACGCGGTCGATCACCCGTCCCACCAGGACCCACTCTTCGCTCTCCTGCCGACAACACAGGGAGCAGGGTGAGGGCTGTGCCCGCTGTCCCCATGTGGGTCCCTCTCCCCCCTGGCCCCAGCTCACGCTGGTGAAGTCGTTCTGCTCCCGCGTGGCATTGGCAATATAGTTGCAGGCGTCCACACAGGCACGGATCTCAGGACCTGTCTCCTCCAGGCTCTGGCAGAAGTCCTGGGCACCGCCGCTCTCCAGGCCACGTCCTGCGGGCAGCGGAGCCGGCACAGCAGGCACCAGTGAGCGCCTGCGCACCTGGCCATCACCCAGCCTCGCAGGGAGGTGCCAGCTCCCCGGGGGCACTCACCAATCTTCTCCAGCACAGTTTTCATCAGCCCGTCCCTCTCCTTCTGCTTCTCGAAGAGCAGCTCAGTCCGGGCTTTCCAGAGCATGTACTCGTCAGCTTTCACCATGAGCCCCAGGGAGCTGCGTCTCCGGGTGGCTCGTGGTGGCCCCGGTGTCTCCTCTGGCATGTGCATGCCCAGGTAGCGGGGAAGGAGGTGTAGGAATACCTGGGCACGGCATCACCCATGGGGACCTGACCCCACACGCAGCTCCCAGGGCACCCAGTGGGTGCAGTGGAGTCCCCTTGCATCTCCTGGAGCATCCCCATGAGGGAGGATGCTGGGTGTGTTGGCACCTGCTGTTCCCCAGTGTTTGGTTGGAGGGGTTTGGAGGGGACTGGTGGCACAGTGCAGTCCCTTGGGGACATCTGGGGAGTTCCTCTTTGTGCCAAGACTTGCATTCAGATTGAGTTGTGCCCGCCACCCTGCTCTGCAAGGGGCATGGCCTCGATCCCCAAATACCCACCCCATTCTCCATGTATAAGAGGTAGGGGGACATCAGCGGGTACCTGGCGCACTCTCTGAGACATGGAGTGAGTGTTGGGCGTTCTCAGTGAGACGTTGAGGACGATGACAGCATTCACCACAATCACCACTGTCACCACCATGAGGAAGGTGAGGTACCTGGGGAAGGGGCACGAGGCCTTACATGGGGCTGCTGAGCCACAGGTTATGGACACGTAAGGTCCTTCTCAGTGCCCTCCTGGACTGGAACCTGGAGACCAGCAGTGGGATGCAGGCACATGGTAGCCCTGTGCCAGCCCTGCTGGGGTCCTGTCCTGGGGCACTGGCTACTGCACAGCACCCTGAGACCCTGCTGGCATGGTGTGACAGCAGGGCTGGCACCCCCATCCCCATACATCACTTACTTCCCGATGAGAGGCACAGCCTGGGAGGTCTCGGGAACCTTCTGGGCAATGAGGAAGAGGAAGACGGTCTGGGCCAGGAGGACATTGATGGAGACGGTGCATTTCTGCCCACCCGCTGCCAAGGAGGGGAGAAGGCAGAGGTTGGCACAGCGCAGTGGTGTGGGCATTGCCCTCCTTTGGCAAAAAGCGCCTACCCCAAAGCTGAACTGGCCAAGTGCTGCCACGAGGCGTTAACTGTGCTGCACCTGGGAATTCACACCCCAGATATCACAGGAGTGGGTGAGAGATGGCACTGCTGGTCCCCAAGCACAGAGGGAACAAAGAGCCCTTCCTCACCTGCCGCTGCCCTGCTGGCACGTCCCCATGCCCCCCGTGGGCACCTCACCAGTGCCTACCTTTAGCAGGCAGAAAGTAGACCAGCACAGCCATGGCGGAGATGAGGACGCACGGCACGATGATGTTGATGACGTAGAAGAGCGGCTTGCGCTGGATGATGAGGTAGAAGATGACCTGCTGGTACTGGATGTCATCTGGGGTGAAGTGGTCCGAATTGATGATCTTCCGAGCGGGGCGGTGCTTGATGGCCCACTCACCGTTCTCTGCCGTGCAGCGGTGCCACGTGAGTCCCACTGCCCTGCCGGCGGTACCGGGGCTGCTAGCCCCCTGGCCGAGGGTGGGGAAGGGGAGGGCTGGTGCTCGGTGTGGGCCCCACAGTGCACCCAGGATGGGCAAGGTGCAGGGAAAGGTGCTAGAGCCGCTGGGGAGGGAGATGAGCACTGCGGAGTGTGCCAGGGTGCCTGGGCAAAATACCCCAAAAAGCTGGTGGAGGCGGCAGCTGGGCACCGCTGGGGCACCTCGAGCCCCTCGGGGGCTCCCAGGGTGAGTTATGTGTGAGGCTGGGGTCCCCCCATCTCCCTGTCCCCGGGGTGCCGTGGGGGGAAGCTGAGTGTGACGCTGGCTGACGGCGTGCTCTTCTCCCCTGCCGTCTGCGGGAGCGATAGATTTTTCCCAATCAAGATCGCAGCTCGGCCCGGTAATGAAAAAATAAATCTCGCTGCCCGAAAAGCATTTTGTTCCTTCAATATACAATTAAAATGTGATGGAAAACGTCATCGTTTGGCCGTGACAGCCACATTCCCAGCATCAATCAAGCTCTCAGGAGCGGTGCTTTCCAGGAGCGGCTGCCAGGCAGTGAGAGCCCCAAGCTGGAGGGGGGTTAGAAAAACAAATCTCTCCCACACTCCCGCTTCCACTAATAACTTAAGTATCCATGTAACGGG